GACACATTCTGTGTGAAAAACATGGGAAAATCATGGAAGCCATGGAAAAGTTGAAGTCTGGAATGAGATTCAATGAAGTGGCCATACAGTATAGTGAAGATAAAGCCAGGCAAGGGGTATGGTGTTGTTTTCATTTATCCCCCATGGAGGACACACAGTGGTAGGGGTTATTTCTATGTTCTGCCTTTAATTTTAGCCATATCTTGGTTTAAAGATCTTAAAAGCAGAAATGTACAGTTGCGTACAGGGCACCTGTTGTCTAAGACTAGGCACGGCCAAACTTGCACAGCTGAGACACCTGGCAGCATTGTGAGTGCTTATGTGTTCAGTCCAGGGTTGGATCTCTTTCACCCATTTGTCCTTGTCAAGCCCACTTCTTTACAGCCCAGGCAAATAAAACTAGGAACCTTAGCATTTGTGTTGGGAAATTCTCAAGCTACTGTAGAACTGTTTCCTCTGGAGGGCCACCTGACGTCACATATCTTTTGGGTTTTTCAGGGTGACTTGGGTTGGATGACCAGAGGTACCATGGTGGGACCATTTCAAGAAGCAGCATTTGCCTTGCCCATAAGTGGGCTGGATAAGCCTGTGTTTACAGACCCTCCAGTTAAGACAAAATTTGGATATCATATTATTATGGTTGAAGGGAGAAAATAAAATTGTATGGAAAACTGACAGTGTTTTATACAATTGTTTATTTCTTTTTTTAAAAAAAAATTTGATGTTTTTATTTACTTCTGAGACAGAGAGAGACAGAGCATGAGCAGGGGAGGGGCAGAGAGAGAGGGAGACACAGAATCTGAAGCGGGCTCCAGACTCTGAGTTGTTGGCACAGAGTCTGACGTGGGGCTCGAACTCATGAGCTGTGAGATCTTGACCTGAGCTGAAGTCGGACACCCAACCGACTGAGCCACCTAGGTGCCCCTGTTTATTTCTTTAAAAGGTGTTGAGTAACCCTTGTATTTTATGAACTCTGTCATTGTGGGTTTGGAGGCACAAAATGAGGTGGGGAAAAGTTAGTGTGCACACTATAGTGGGTACTCAGTCAGCTGTTCTCAAAGATAAGTCAAGCAAGGGCACCCAGCTGGCTCAGTCGGTAGAGCATGCAACTCTTGATCTTGGGATTGTGAGTTTGAGCCCCACATTGGGTGTAAAGTTTATGTAATTAAAAAAAAAAAGAGAAGTCAAGCAGACTCCTTTTAACCTTAAGTCTCTTTTCCCTCAGAACTACTGTCTGTGATTCTCAGTATACCCCGTAAGTTAATTTAAAAATCATCTCTAGGGGAGCCAAATACCTAGTTCACACTATTCACACATTGAGTTGGACATCAAATAGATGGATTAGCATATGAAAATCCTAAAATAAGCAATAGGCAACACTTGTTTTGTAAGTTAGCCAACTTTGATCTGCCAGGACAGTTATTAGCTCCAGTGTCTTAATATAATATGCTGTACATAAAGGCCATTCAACATGAACTCTTCTTTTTGTGAACTCTTCTTTTTAAATAAACATTTATTGCAGGCAAAAAGGCACTCAGTTCTTCTACCAGTTGTTTGTACTAGACTAAGCAGCCAATGTTTTGTGTATCTGCATTTTTTATTTCACATTCCCATATTTATAACATACAAAAATGTATAAAGAATTATAAATACTGTACTGCTTCAAAAATAAAACTTTGCCAACATAACCACATGATTCTTAACAGTGATTCTTTTAACACACTGTGTTCTTGCTCAGCTGCATTTGACATAGAAGTTTCTTATTTTAGAGTAGTTTCTGGGCATCCTCAGCAGGTTAGTCCTCCAGGAGATTTTCCCCACTGAGCAGACTAACGGATGCCCCATTCCCTCAGATACATAGATATACCAGTATGTATTGAGAGATGTTCGAAATAGTAGGCCTAAGATGAAACTTCTAAAAACCCCACTCAAAACAATGTGTCTAAATAAGGGCTATAAATTTGGAAAATCTTGAAGAAAATTCTGAAAAGCTTTATATGCATGAGACACTACCTAGTTAGCATCCTTTGCTCAGGACATTGGCTTACCCAGGATACTGACTGAATGCCTTTTGCAGGGTGTCACCCACAAAGTAAAACGTGCTGGAAAGGTGGAGTAGGAAAAGCAAATTTAGAGATGCCTGGGTAGCTCAGTCGGTTAGGCGTCTAACTTCGGATCAGGTCATGATCTCACAATCTGAGTTCGAGCCCCACGTCAGACTCTGTGCTGGCAGCTCAGAGCCTGGAGCCTGCTATGCACTCTGTGTCTCCCTCTCTCTCTGCCCCTCCCCTGCTCACGCTGTCTCAAAAATAAATAAACATTAAAAAAATAAAAAATAAAAAGCAAACTAACTTGTGGCATGGAAAGAGAAAGCAGTGATAGCTACCTTCTGAGAGAGCAGAGCAAGAATGGGTCTCTGACACCAAGCGACCCTTTGGGAAGTTAACTTTGAACTGGCAACTAAGGTTCTAAAGGAGTTGATAAATGAGAAAACTAAGGATTTATACCGACTTCTACATATTATAGCACATGCCTTCAATTCTGCTTTGAAATTACATCTTTTTCATTAAGTTCAATGCTTAATGAACCAACTTCATTCAGAGTAAAATAACTGCAAATTAAAACCAAAATGAGATCTTGCTTTTTACCTATCAGATTGGCAAAGTTCAAAACATTTAACATATTGTTGGTAAGGGTATGAAGAAACAGGTATCCATTAATGGCAGAAATGTACATTATTATAACCTCTATCGAGAAAATTTGGCAATACCTATCAATATTATAGATACAGGGGCGCCTGGGTGGCTGTCGGTTGAGCGTCTGACTCTTGATTTCAGCTCAGGTCATGATTTCACAGTTTGAGTTTGAGTGCCACATTGGGCCCCACACTGACCGTGCAGAGGCTGCTTAAGATTCTCTCCCAAAAGAAAAAAAAAAGAAAAATTACAAATATACCCTTGCACCCAGCAGTTCCATTTCTAGGAATTTATCCCATAGATATAATACATGTGTAAAAGGTACAAGGATATTATTCATCACAGTGTCAGTTGGAAATAAACGGACTATCCATCAATAAATGATGGTGTATCCATTCAATAAAATATCATACAGCTGTGTTAAAATTAAAAACTGGTGCAGAACAGCATATATAACATACTATCATTTGGGTAAGAACATAGATAAACAAACATATACTTGTGCTTGTACATATATACTGTCCTTGGGAATGGTAATCCAGAACTGGGGGCAGGGCAGGTAAGAGACTTTATTTCATACCCTTAGATCAGGGGGGTCTTAATCTGTTCTGTGCCATGGAGTCCTTTGGCAGTTTGCCCAAGTCTATGGATCCCTTCTAAGTTGCTTTTATTTTTTTTAAGTTTATTTATTTTGAGAGAGAATCCCAAGCAGGCTCCATGCTGTCAGCACAGAGCCTGACACAGGGCTCAATCTCACAAACTGTGAGATCACAATTGAGCCAAGATCAAGAGTCACACCGGGCCGTTTAACCAACCTAGGCGCCCCTACCTGTAGTTTTTTAAATTGTTTTATATACAATATGTAGATTTAAATTATATATATTTCATATTTTCTTGAGTTCTGTGTGCTGTTCTAATTACTGAACCTGAAGGTGCAGTCATAGGAATCCTCAATTTGTAGCCAATTTGGACAGAAGTGTGGATAACATGGGGGCCCAATACTAGCAATTGTCAACCAAAGTGAGGGCAGTTTTATGGGAGTGAGCACTTGAACCTGTGGAGTCTGACTGGAACTCCAGGTAGTGTCAGAACTGACTTGAATTGTAGGACACTCCATGGATATCTGCCAAAAACTGGAGGACTGGTGTGGAAAACCTCCGCACATTTGGGGTCAGAAGTGTTGTCAGTAAAAACATCTCAGTATATTCAGTGAAGCAAAGACAGTTTATTATGGTAACTTTTCACCAAGTAACACATGGTTTAAAAAACTCCATTTCACTCCCTACTGTGTGATCTTGCGCAGATCACAGCCTCATTGAGCCTTAGTTTCCTCAACTAAAATAAAGTAAATGCCACCCTCAACCTCAAAGGATTATGGTAAGGATTAAACAAGGAACCTATGCAGAATACCCAATACAGAGCAGGTACTTCATAAAAGCTAGTTCCACTTCTCAAGTGCAGAGTTCTGTATTGTACTTTGTTTCTGAGAAGCAACTGAACTCCTTTTCAGTCTACCACCCAAAGATCCGCTATGCTGACCTGTATCAGAATGCAGTGGGAGGTGAGTGAAGAATGGCTAAGTTGTTGACAAAGTGACTCTGGGGTCAGGAGCCAGTGATAAAGAAGCCTGGCACCAGGTACCTTATCCCAGCCTTCTGCTGGAGTGAGCTGAGGACACAAAATAGCATGTTAATAAGCAGGTCACAGATTCAGAATTCCAATAAGCTCCTGCTTAAACTAATGTGCTTCCATATGCATTTGCCAGTGTCATCTCAGTGAAAGAAAGCAAATGGAGAAGAAAACACTGAGAAAAGTGACTTTATTTTCTTACCTGAAGTGCGATATACAGAAATGGTCATTTCCAGAATGAAATGAAGACTGGCAAGAATAATTTCACAAAAACATTTCTAGAAATCACATAGTTCTATTAAGTTGACAGAGCATGCCACCACACTGAGCGTGGAGCCTGTTTAAGATTCTCTCTCTCCCTCTGCCCTCTTATGGACTCACGCCCTCACTCGCTGTCTAAAAAAAAAGTTTATAGAGCATGCCTAAAAGAAAAATATAAGCCTATTCAAGTAAAGAAATATTAACCTAGTGTTCAGAATATCAGAATATATGTACAGGGGAGGGGGACAGGAAGGAATAGGGAGTAAATGCAGAATTTACAAAATAGTTAAAACCAACACCTTGCTTTTTGAGATCTCTCACCTTAAGCCTAAATGCTTCATGCTCCCAAAGAATCCAGTTACAGGAACGAATTCATACTCAGTGTCTCATTTTAACAATAAACAGGTTATAGTCTTAAGGTTTATTAAGCTGCTTATACAAACTTAAAGTCATGAGCATGACTTCAGGATCGGCGCTTTTTATGTCAAGTGCTTTAACGAAGCAGTTTAAGGCCTCCTGTATTTTCCCACACTCTTTCAGTTCTTTTCCACGAATTACAAGGGTCTCATAGTCATTCACAGCCTCCATTGCCTCATCCTGGGGAGAATCAACCAACTGTCTGCCAGACAAAGAGGTCTGTCCTGGGTTGCCAGGAGAGGTCTCTTGAGCCAAAGCATGAGGCTCAGGTGTCATTAACTTATTTTCTGAAGGCAGCGTTTTGCCAGGAGGGTCTTCTGTACACTCTGAGACTTCACCACTGCTTTCCTCGGCTCCTTCCTCCAGGTAATCTTCAGCAACCTCTGCTTCACTGCTGTTGTCAAGTCTTTCCTCCATATCCTCCACGTGGTCTAAAACCACATTAACAAGTGACCTCCTAGAAGCCAGGGATCTTCTAGAGGTTACAGACTTATTTATACTATCAGCCATTTTCAGTGAAAAGAACATTCCTGGCGGACTGATGTCACTTTTGGGAGTGGAAGCATCAAACTGTTTTACAGATAACAACTGAAAGGGAGGTGTGTTGAATGGATCTGTGCTTGAAGTATCTTTAAAAGTATCATCTTCATCTTCACCATCTGAAACGATCCTTCTAGCTTTCCTTCTGACTTTCACATTAACTATTACTTCTTCTGGCTCATCGTTTGTCTCAGAAAGATCCATACTGAGATGGGCTTTGCCATGCTCGACCTCTGCTTCATAATTAGCTGCAGCACCGCACAGGCTATTTTCATTCTCAACATGCTGCAAAGACTGCCTGGAAAGATCTTGTCCATTGTCTGCAGCAGAGTCTTCCAAGAAAAGATTGAAATCACATGCATACTGTGATGAGGATGCTGAAGGTTCCTCTTCCAACTTGGCCTCACTGCCTTGAGCATCCTGTAGTGCACCATGGGATGCTGACACGTCATCATCAGCTATTTGAATTACAGATGTGCCTGACTCTGTATTTTGATTTGCGCTGGTCAGGAGACTCATGGGCCAGGGACTGCAGTGAAGTAAAATCTCATTGTCCTTCAGTTGATCTAGATGTGGCCCAAGATCGGCTCTGACCAATTTGCTAAGTGAATAATTAAAATTTCCCAGAGGGTCCTCTTGCGGTGCCTCCTGTGTAGGCCCCTCTTGCAATGTCTCTTTCTGTATAGCCATTCCCATGGGGTCAGTACAAATTTCGTCCACACTTCCACACCACTTGGGCAAAGTAGCCACAGAGTCAGCATCAAATGTGCTTTCGCATGGGTGACTACCATCTTGTAAGACGGTAACATTCATCTTTACATTGGAGAGCTCTTGATTCCCATGCTCTTCAGGCAGATCATCAATGATTATACTTGCCATTTGGGAACTGATTTCTTCTTCCTGGGTTAAAAGTGGTGAAGGCCAAGGCTGCGGTTTCCTTGATTCAGGGAATTTCTTCTTTGTTTGAGAAGGAAATATAGGTTCTCGCTGCCAGATCCCCTCATTTCCAGTCCTTTGTCTTTCCACTAAAAGCTCTGTATTTTGAGATTCTAATTCAACAAGGAATTGAGCTTTCTGAACCCTTTGTTGAATATAGTGAGATTCTTCGATCACATCAAGCTCTTCTTTAACAGACAGATCACGTGTGTACATCAAATCATGGTCTGAGATTCCAGCTATCCCCAAAGAGTGCAGGTAGGCAATGTGTTCATCTAGTTTCTTATCAGATCTCCTCTGAGCAGCATGCAAAGACTGAAGCTGCAGCTGGGTTGCAGAGTTCTGAAAATCCTCAATTGTAAAGAGCTCTCTTAATTCTTGTTTAGTAAAATAACGGAAAGGGTTCTTATCGCCAGTAGTTTGTCTTATTAAGGAGTCCTTGAAAACCTGTCTTCTGTAGATTTTTTCCTCTACAGTCCCACAAGTGATCAGCCTATAAACTACAACATTTTCTTTTTGTCCAATTCGGTAAACTCTATCCACAGCTTGGGCGTCAGTTGCAGGATTCCAGCTAGGGTCAAAAATGACCACTCTAGTTGCTGCAGTTAATGTTAAGCCAACACCACCTATTTGAGTGGTAAGCAGAAAAACAGAGTAATCTTTATTTTGCTGGAATAAGTTAATTCTTTTTTCTCGTTCCACAAGATGAGTAATTGTTCCATCGATTCGCAAAATCTTAAAGTGCCGATTCTTTAAGAGGCATTCGATGATGTTTAGAATTTGTCTTGACTGAGAAAACACCAGAGTCTGATGCCCTTCATCTCGCAATCTCTCAAGCAGCTCTATTAGAAATAGCATTTTTCCAGATTCTGCCATCAGTGTATCATCAGTTATTTGATCAATCTGGTCCACATCTGAGGAATCTTCCCCTTCATTTTCACCTGGAACAGAGAATTTCACAGACCCTAAATTCAACAAAAGACAAGCCCGTGCAGATAGCAGCCTAGGATGATCACACAGCTTCTTTAAGACACCTAGCTCAGCCAAAGGTGAGCGTGTCTCCATCAACAACTCCTTGATATGATCTAGAGACACAAATTTCCTGTATATTTCTTCTTGTAAAGGCACAAGACGTATCCAAATAATAAAATCATTTTTCCTGGAAAGGGAAGGCATTTCACAAATGGCATCAACATCTAGATTCTTTTCGCGAAGTCTAACCTCTGGGTTGCTTGACTTTTTCTTTTGTACCTCCTCTTTCGTCCTCCTGAGGAAATAGGGTTTTATGATTGTCATTAAGTTTTCAGATATTTTAAATCCCAAGGCTTTTTCCCCTTGGGTAGCATCCTTCTCTCTTGCTCTAGTAATAGGATTTTCATACTCCATTTTGAAAGTTTTTAATGTTCCTAGCAGGGACCCTTGACAAGCAAAATCAAACAGGGACCATAGTTCTTGTAAATTATTCTGGATTGGGGTTCCTGTGAGGAGGATGCGATTACGGGTAGGGATAGCCCGAGCACATATTGCTGACTTAGTAGATGAGCTTTTTATTTTATGTGCTTCATCAAGGATGACATAGTCCCACACAAACTCTTGGCCGTTCAAGCTTGAAAGCTGTTGCCAATTATTGATTAACATTTGGTACGTAGTGATAATGACACCATTCCTTTGCTGAATCCTATTGAGGTTTCTGGTACGTTCATTCTTACTAGGACCGTGAAAGGTTTTCACTCTCATTCCTGGAGTCCACTTAACAAATTCTTTTATCCATGTGCTAATGAGATTGGTTGGCATGATCAGCAGCACATGATTCACGAGTGTGGCATCAAACATACCAGAAAGGAAAGCAATGATCTGCACAGTCTTCCCTAATCCCATATCGTCTGCCAAGATGCCACCTTTTCTTCCATCCCTATATAGGCTATAGAGGAAAGCTACACCTTCCTTCTGGTGCTCAAATAGTTGGTTGTGGAGCTCTTGATAGAGCAGCAGGCCAGAGTTGCACACATCTGTGAATTCATCATCTCCGTGTTCTGCCAACTCCTCCAAGGCTTCCTGTATTTTTTGGATTCTGCTCATCACCTTTTCATTGGGAAAAATGTCCTTTGCCAAATTAAAAAGTTTAAATGCTTCTTCCAGATCTCCATTCTTAGTTGCTTCTTTGGCCTCTTTCACGTATCTGTAAAAAAAAAAATATATATATAGATAGATAGATAGCACAGATAGAGAGAAGATTAGAAAAGAAGGAAACAGATTGAACATTCAATCTGAGAACATGTTAGAGTCCATTTTGGAAACTAAACTGCAGTTGGGTTTTTAATATCCTCAATTCAGGATGGGAAAGATTAGCACAGAAGATGCCAATGAAAGCTGGCATTACTTAAGACACATACCCACCAGACACTGCCAGCAACACCTTCAGACATTATTTGTGAGAAATGTGCAAAGGTTATTGGTTCCACGGTATTTTTTTAAAATGTCACCCATAAGAAGTATGGAGTGATATTTTCTTGTAAAACCAACCAACCAGGGGTGCCTGGGTGGCTCAGTCAGTTGAGCATCCAACTTCTACTCAGGTCGTGATCTCACCGCCTGTGTGTTCGAACCCCGCATTGGGCTCTGTGCAGACAGCTCAGAGCCTGGAGTCTGCTTCAGATTCTGCATCTCCATCTCTCTCTGCTGCCCCTCCCCCACTCTCACTGTCTCTGTGTCTCTCAAAAATAAACAAACATTAAAAAATTAAAAAAAAAAA